TCTTCCTCAGTTAAGTCTAGAGAATTCCTCCTAGGAGCTGCCTTTTGGGCAGTTTCTGGTGTCTCAGTAGTGCACCCTGCTTTAAATGTGTTACCAGATAAGTCACTTTTGAAGGGAAGTTGGAGGATCTCAGGATTAACAGAGAACATGCCCTCCCCCACCCGCAACCATCTCCAGTAGAAGGGGTTCTGACAAATCATTAAGCTGACCCCAGGGAGTCTAGTTGAGGCTCAGCTTAAAATTCACAGGAGTGCAAGGAATTCTCAGTAGTTACTATGATAATTCCTCTTCATCCACATTCTCTGCAGCAGAAAATCTCTCAACATTGAATTATCTAACAGCTGAGTTCAGTATTTGCCTGCATTTTACAAATCCTAATTCTTTCAGATTCACCCAGGTTTCTGGGGGTAGGGAACAGGAATTCATTTGAGCTCTCAGGGCTATTTTCATATTCTTTTAAAACATTTTTGTAAAAATTTTGTTTAAATTTTAAGTTTATTTATTTATCGAGAGAGAGAGAGAGAGCGAGCGAGCGCACAAGCAGGGGAGGAACAGAGAAAGAGGGAGAGACAGAGAATCCCAAGAAGGCTCTGCACTGTCAGCAGGGAGCCCTATGCAGGGCTCCAACCCACAAGCAGCGAGATCTTGACCTAAGCCCAAATCAAGAGACTGATGCTTAACCAACTGAGACACCCAGGCACCCTATTTTCATATCCTAACAGGCCTGGCACTTCTACTTTTAGAGCTCTATCTCCATATCACACCTAACATATTAAAATGCATCCCATATCCAATAATCTTTCACTTAGTGGTTTAAAAACTGTTTTTGAAAATTATATTTAAAAGTTTTGGTTTTGAAATTATTTGCAAATAAATTATTTATTGTGATCTTTCAGGAATTATGCGCATTCTGAATTTGTGCAGAGTAAGACAAACTAACAGATTTATTTATATATGTGGGAAATGTTTACTAACAATAACAATGGAGTTACCATGATTATATTATTTATGTTTATTAAATATTTATTAATTTTGATTTTACATTTTTCCTTTGTATTTTGAGTATTTTTTTTTAGGAGAGGGAGTATGTCAGAATTTTTCAAAAGTTCTGAGGCCTTAAGTACCACACTATATGATGGATAAAGTCATAAAGTCGATTCCCTTAACCACTTTCTTATGTGGGTAACCTTACTTTATACAATTCATAAGGTTAGGTATTAAGCTGGACCATCTGAAATTGCTGGTTATTTTTTTTTTTGTAGGTTTTATTTTGGTAAAATAAAATAAAATGATTGAACAGGAGGCAATTTCAGATGAGGTTACCTGATTGCTTTTGGTTACAAATACGCTTCTTCGCTCAGAAACAAACTGGAGAGCTAAAACTGAGAAGAGCAGAGTGCTATGCCTGCCCTAGGCACTCAGTAAGTTATTTGCTGAATGAATGCTTGCAGATACCAATCAATGACCCAACAAGAAGCAACAATGTATACGAGAGTGAAATTGCATGTTACGAACTTGGGGTAATGGAACTGGTGGAACATATTAATCATACAAAGCCCTTTGGCAATTACTTTAAAAACCAACACTCTCTTTGTAACTTAATTGTGTTTTGTTAGCAAGAGATTGGCGTTGCCTGTGGGAGAAAGCAGTTCAGGCATAGTTCACTGCTGATTCCTCATACAAGAATGAAAAATGGAAACATCATAGGAGTTTAAGGAGGAAAAGAAGCATTGTGGATCTGAGAGAGGAGATTTCAGAGGCCAATAGGATGTTCATGTTGCTTTTTATTTGGCAGCAAGAACTATCTCCAGGGGCAGAATCCTTAATTGGAAAGTTCTGGTGTTTTTACTTTTCTATGATCCCAGGGAACAGCTTTATTTATTTGCCTTTTGGCTGGCAAGCCTAGAGATAACAAAGGATTAGCAAATCTTAATGATTAATAAGACTTCAACTTTGGGTCCATCCATCCATCCATCCATCCATTTATTTATCCCATTATCTTCTTGTACCATTATGTGCCAGATACTGTCCATGTGCTGGAAACAGAATGTGGTTTAAGGTATGAAACACATTTCCAAACCAAAGGGATATTCATCTAGTGTAAGAAGATTAAATGTCATTAGTTCTGGAAAAGTGCTCAGGGAGCACAGAGAACTGATTCCTGGGGAATCAGTTGGATTTTTCCCTGGAGTTTTTCCTGGAGATTTCCTTGGAGAGATGTTAATTGTTCTGGGTCCAGAAGAAAGGTTTGTGACCTTGGCTATAGATTAGAGTAACCAGAGGTTAGAAGAAGAAGAAGTAGAAGGGGAGAAGGAAGGGGAGAATAGGGAGGGGAAGCGTGGATGGGGAGGAAAGAAGAAGAAAGAGGAAGAGGAGGAGGAAGAGGAAGAGAAGGTGAGGGAGAAAGAAAGAAAAAAAAAAAAGAATCATTCCCCCAGGAAGGGTCCACCACAAACGTTCGGGCTTAATTGGCTTGAATGGACATCCGTTTTGTTTTTGGGTTTGGCCTAAGCTAACCAGGTAAATCTAGTGAGCATTAGGTTGAGAACCACTGGTCTGGCAGGAGTAGTAACACACACGGTGAATGGAGGAGGGGGTTGGATTGGTTGAGGGAGAAGAAAGTCGCTGAGCATTCTACTTTAAGTAAAGAGTAAGTTTTAAAAAAGTTCATGTGTAAAGTTTTCAGTCCCAATTTAAATGGGATGCTGGAGCTGAATATTTTGCAGAAAATGGGACGTCTGGAAGCGCTTCCTTGAGAGGAAGATTCAGCAAGAAATTGCACCATGATCAAGTGTCTCATCTAGGAACTGATGGACCATCCTGGGTCAGGTATGAAAAGTCAACCAGAAGACACTAGTGTCCTTAAAACTATTATGTATGTAGGGGGAGGGAATTCGATCTTCATTATTCATGAAACACAAAATACTGAAACTGAGCCAAGAAATCTACATTAAAAAACTGGTGCAAAATAAATGAAAACAATAAGAGTTCATAAGAAACAAATGAACCTAAGACTACCCAGAGCAACAGGATTCCCACAGGAAACAATTTCCACTGAGGATTAAGCCTGTAATAAAAAAATTACTAAGTACACACGTTAGAAAAAATGCCATGTGAATGAGTTAGTACACTTAATAGACAAACAATTGCAGTGCAGAAACTATATATTCTGGAGCAACTTAGAAAGACTCCCAAATGAACATGTCTAACATTTTCAAAGAGATAAAAGTAGGAAAATAATCCAGTAGGCTAGGATTAATTAATTCAAAATGGATTAATGTCTTGAAGGTAAGATCTGTAACCATAAAGCTCTTAGAAGAAAATGTGGGTAGGAAACTCCTTGACATGGGTCTTGGCAGTGACTGTTTGAATTCAAGACAAAGAGCAAAAGCATCAAAAGCAAAAAGCAAAACAAAACAAAAAACAACAAAAAACAGAAAACAAGTGGGACTACAGCAAACTAAAAAGCTTCTACACAGCAAAGGAAATCAACAAAATGAAAAGGCAACCTACTGAATGGGAGAAAATTTTTGCAAACAATATACCTGATCAGGGGCTAATATCCAAAATATATAAAGAGCTCACGCAACTCAATAGCAAAAAAATAATTTGATTAAGGAATAGGCAGAAGAAGATCTGAATAGACATTTCTCCAAAAGAAAAAAAAAATACAGATGACCAATAGGAACATGAAAGGTACTTAATATCATTAATCATCAGAGAAATGCAAATTGCAACCACGAGGAGCTATCACCTCACACCTGTTAGAATGGCTATTATCAAAAAGATAAGAAATAATAAGTGTTAGTGAGGATGTGATAAGAGGTAACAAGTGCTAGTAAAATTTACATAAAAATTTACACTATTGGTGGGAATGTGAATTGGTGCAGCCATTATGGAAAACATTACGGGGCTCCTAAAAATATGAAAAATAGAACTACTATATGATCCACCAATCCCACTTCTGGTTATTTATCTGAAGAAAATGAGAACACTAACTCAAAAAGATATATGCACCCCTACATTTATTGCAGGACTATATATAATAGCTAAGACATGGAAGTAACCTAAGGGTCCATCAATGGATAAATGGATAAAGAAACTGTGGTATATATATTTGCAATGGAATATTATTCAGCCCTAAAAAGAATAGCACGTATGGACCTTGAGGGCATCATGGCAAATGAAATAAGTCATACAAAGAAAGAGAAGTCCTATACAATCTCTCTTATGTGTGGAATCTAAACAAACAGAAAAACAAACAGAACGCCAGGCTCATCGATACCAAGAACAGATTGGTGGTTGTGAGAGGTGGTGGGGGGGGGGGTGTGTGGAGTGGTAGAAATGGGTGAAGCGTTTTTGTTTTAGTTTAAATAAAAAAAATGGATACATAATAATAATAAACAATAAGGAAAGATCTCTAAGATATATTTTAAGTGATAAAAACCAGACACGGATCAATGTATATACTTTACTACCACAGGGTAAAGAATACAAATGGAGAAGGAAGGACATCTACCTTTATCTATATAAACATGTGTATGTGTGAGTGTGTGTGTGTGTTTCTTTTTTGCTTGCATATTTTAAAAAAGATGTAGAGATAAGCATCAATAGTAATAATACCAAATAGCTTCTGACAGTTTCCCCAAATTCAAGTCCTTTGTTAGTCTTTTACATGTGTATCTTACTATGAGTCCATGAGTCCCAAGCACCTTCAGTGCTCACAGTCCAGTTTTTGGTTTTAATTAAAGCAAACACATAAAAACCTTGTTTTAGGTAATTGACCCTGCTATTGTGTCCATACATGTTTGAAACAGAAGTCAGTGCCTTGGCAACAGTCCACTATATACGGAACAGACATAAGGAAGGCCAGGAGTTTATGCTATCATTAGAAATTCATCCTATTGGGCACACTATTGGATAATGGAATAATATTCAATTGACCCAACCAGATTCTGTAGCAGATAGCATTCCCTTGGAAGGAGGCTCCGAGAACCTGATTTTGTATGCAATAGATTTATTAGTGTGTTTGGGAGAAAATATGTTAGGAGTATGAGGAGCACAATTAGGAACAAGGGGGAGTTCAGTTGTAATGCTCTTGCAACAGAGACTTCAGCAAATCATACGAGGAGCTCCGACGCTGGAATGGTGCTCCAGAGTTGTCCAACTGACACAAGAGGGATGGCCCATCAGATAACAACCACATTGACCAGTAATCAGATACAGGCTTCTTTCAGGTTGGAAGCATAACCTTGGGTGCCACTTCCTTGTTACAGGGCAATTCCTGAAGAGAGACTCAGCTGTGAAATGTCAGCAGGTGACACTCAGAGGAGGTGGGGGGATGGGTGCTTAATCCTGAAGGGACATCTGGGCTCTGTACCATGACATCCTCTGTAGAGTCTTAGGAAATTTTGAATGCAGGAGGCACTGAGAAAATATAGAAACAAGCAGAGGTGATAAAGAGAGAGATAAATCCAGTCATGAAAATGGTAGTGTCATCACAGTATTAACAACAAGGTGATTAGGTTGCTACAACAGTTTTTGAATATCTTGAGAGGGTTTTGTATCTCTAACAGTGATAAATGATATTTCAGATCTTCATAAACCCTAACTGTAATTGTGGAGGCAATTGTGTTGTCTGTATCTGTTTCTTGCAATGTGAAAAAGCAAACCTAAAAGACATAGGTCTTAGGTATTCAATTAGAAGTGAATCTTATGCAAGGTATTTATAAGACTGCGTGAAGAAAACTTCTCTGGACTGGCACCACACACAGTTGAAAATCTATGTATAACTTTTGACTCCCTCAAAACTTAACTATTAAGAGCCTACTGTTGAGCAGAAGCTTTACCAATAACATAAATAGTTAATTAATATATACTTTGTATATTATATGTGTTATACAGTGTATTCTTACAATACACTAAGCTAGGGAAAAGAAAATTTTATTAAGAAAGTCATAAGGAAGAGAAATACATGTATAGTACTGCACTGTAAAATATCCACTTATAAGTGGACTCATTCAGTTCAAACTCATGTTGTTCAAGGGTCAATTATCACAGTTAAAAAATTATAGTTCTGTTTAAATGTAGAGGTAGAAGATGTAAAGTTGAATGCTAAAAGACCTATAAAGACTGATTTGTCCATTTTTATTATTTGTTCAGTATTTATCCTGACGGCTAGTACACATTAATTCAAGACCTAATTTTCAAATTAAGTAACCTCAAAATGCATCGTTTTGTCCTTAATGATATAAAATAAGTTGCTCTCACCTTGAGAAGTTTCTTGCTTTCTTCTGGTTTCACAGGCAACTCCTGTAAATGTCATTGGGCAGGTACACAGACATTCTCCGTCCAGCAGGATCACAGTACCTCCATGTTGGCATGGGTAGCATTTCTTCACATTGAATTCATTGATATAATCTTCTAGGGCTTTTTCCAAATTCTGTTTCTTTAGGTGTGCATCTTTTATTTTCACTGGAACCAGATTATATATAGGAGACAGCTACGAGAAAGCAAAACATTTAATTTTAGGACTTTTCTACTGATGGCTTTTGTGCAGTACCATTCACTGAATTATTTGTTTATCCATTCATTAATTCAACAAAGGCTTAGTGAATGATTATGGCATGAAGTTAGCTTATAGACGATGGGAGTCATCAAAGTTAGCCGTGATCTCTGTGATCTTTATGGAGGTAAAGAGATAACATTACAGAGGCAAGATGACTGATATTAAAATAATCACACAGATAAAATGGAAACCATGAGAGGTGCTATATGGGATGGGTACGTGTGTTTTAAAAATGAAGAATCATGGATTTAAACTTTTCTCAGGGTAACGTACTGACATTATTTTGTGAATTGTTTGTGCTGCCTTTCCGCTGCCTCCTCTTTTCTAGCAGGTAGCCGGGTGCTGCTATCTCTCGCCAAAGTAGGGTTTTGTGGGCAAGGCCAAGATCAGAAAGCCCCTAAAGGCAAATTCTTTATTGGCTTCCCCCCACCCATAAAAGCCTGAACTCACTGAGAAATTTTTACTGGGAGAAAGGGTGTGAGAAGAATGCCACCGAGGCAGGAGATTCATCCTGACTTAGTATGTCACTCAAGGAGCAAGAACCCATAACTGAATCTCTGGCAGCTATTTGGGGAAACAATAGAGAATCCCTAGAGAAGCTAGGTCCATATCTTGGACCAGCGATCCAGATTTGCCAGAGACTCCCACATGCAATCTTGGCATAGAAGGCTTGGAACCACTTGACTTCGTGAACATGTGAGTTTGAACAATGAGGTTATCAGGGTGACCACTGTGGATGTACATATATTCCCAGTTCCCCAACAGAAGCATTAGGGTTCTTGTATTGATTTGGGCAATAAGACCTCCCTGAACCCCATCCAACAAATGAATAAAGGAAGAATTTTCCAGCAGTAGGAAGGGATGGAATCTCAATGTCAAATTTAATTAGAACTAAAGAGAACAAAGTAAAATGATTTCTTCTGCATACTTCAATCCCTGGGGTAAAACACATAGTTGCTACAACTGAATCAAGAAAGCTTGGAAAGGCTTTCCTGAGAAAATGAGCCTTCAGCTGAGATTTGAGGTGCTGGGACAGAAAGAAGAATATTCCAGTCACACAGAATTCAAAAAGTTGTTATGTTGGAGGGACTCCTGGGTGGCTCAGTCAGTTGAGCATCTGACTTTTGATTTTGGCTCAAGTAATGATCCCAGGTTCCTGGGATGGAGGCCCGTGTTATGTCAGGCTCTGTGCTGAGCCTGGAACCTGCTTGCAATTCTCTCTCTCTCTACCTCTGCCCCACTCCCCCACTCACTCTCTCTCTCTCTCTCTCTCTAAAACAAAAACAACAAATTTTAAAAAAGTTCTTATGGTGGAGAAGCCACAACATATATAGAAAGTATCTATATAAGCAAATTCAATTGTGTGACTTTAAAGACTTGTTTGAGTAAATAAATCATTAAAAATGGAGGCCCTTGGGTGGTGCAGCACGTTGAAGCAGGAGGCTACAAATTTATAACTGGAATCCAAAGACTCAAGAGAGAGGAGATAAAGAAACACATTGCATATGGGTAATGATGGATTAAATAATGTCAACTGAACTTTTTTCCTCTGAGGACAACGAAAAATAAAACCAAAAAAAACCCCCAAAAAACCAAAATTAAAAATCTGCTCGAAGGCTCTGGAGAACTAACGAGGTAATACATATTGGGCTAAGTGCTGGGAGAAGGTGGAGGTTCGGGGAGGTGAGCCTGGTTTTATTGGGCCACGGCCCCTTTTGACACATTTCCTCATTTGGAAACAGGCCTCAGAGGGGCTGAGGTAAAGGAGCACATCACTGGGCTGGGGGAAAAAGGTCGGCATTCAGGGACAGCAAAGGAAAACAAGCCATGCTTTGGGTTGGGACCGAGAGCACTACAGTCCCGGAAGTGACAGGGAACTGAAAGTGGGGTAGCTCTGCAGAGACTGCAGTCTGGTTTGCATTAAAACAATCTTGAATCATTGTAACCCCAGAAGCTTTCCAGATGTAAACATATGTTTTCTTTGCAAGAAAAAAAAATCATCCCAGGCCTCATGCTACTCCTAGAACAAATTTTAAAGTATAATATTCAGCCCCCAATAAAAATAACTAGGTACACAAGGAGACAAGGTGAGATGAATGAGAATCAGTAGGAACGCTAGAAACTTAAGCAGAGCTGTGAGGATGACAAGATTTGACTTACCGAACAGACTTTTGAAGAGCTACGTTTACGCGGGCAGGGGCATAAGGGAGAAGATCAACAATTTTAGCAGGAAACTGGAAGTTACTTTTTAAAACAGAGGATTTGGAAAAAATAAACAAAAATATTGTAAATTGATATTACGGGTACCTGGGTGGCTCAGTCGGTTAAGCGTCAACTTCTGCCTAGGTCATGACCTCATGGTTGGTGGGTTTGAGCCCCACATCGGGCTCTGTGCTGACAGGTCAGAGCCTGGAGCCTGCTTCAGATCCTGTGTCTCCCTCTCTCTCTGCCCTTCCCCCATTCATGTGCTCTCTCTCTCTCTCTCTCTGTCTCTCAAAAATGAATAAATGTTAAAAAAATTAAAAACAGTAAGTTGATATTTTAATATGTCAGTTAATGGACTGGCTAAATAGAAGCTGTGACACAACAGAAGCAAAGTTAATGAGCTAGAATATAGGTAAGGTGAAAACACTGACAGTGATGTACAAAGTGGTAGAAGACTGGGAAATCCAGAAAGAGGGTAGGAAACATAAAAGACAAGGTGAGAAGGGGCACCTGGGTGGCTCAGTCAGTTGAGCATCTGACTCTTGATTTTGACTCAGGTCATGATCCCAAGAACATGGGATCAAGCCCCACATTGGGCTCCATGATGGGCATGAAGCCTGCTTAAGATTCTCTCTCCCTCTCCCTCTCTCTCTCTCTCTCTCCGTCCCTTTCTCTCTCTCTCTCTCTCTCTTCCTCTGCCCCTCTCTCCCACTCTCTCTCTAAAGTAATAATAATAAAATGGATATGGCAAGAAGTTAAAGATCCACATAATTTGAGTCCCAGAAGGAGAGAATGTTTAAGAAGCAATATTTGAAGAACTAATGGCTGAGAGTATAACAAGCCAGTGAAAGACATAAAGGTACCTTGTTAATGAAAAGCAAGGTTATAATTTTTTCTTTACACACATAAGCATATCAGAGTAAAACTACTAAAAAACAAAGATAATGGAGTAGGTCTTAAAAATCATCTAAGTAAAAAGTCATAGCACTTTCTAAGTAGACTGATATTTGATTTTAGTAGATACAATCAATGATAGGAATTGTTCTTGGACAATGAGATATTCATAGGAGATTTTTAAAAAGGTGTCCTCAAAGGTTATATCACTCACAAAAAAACCCAAATCTGGTTGGATTGTAGATCAAAAAGTAAAAGCAAAACAATAAAGCTTCTGCAAGAAAATATATAGGAGAGCATCTTCAAGACCTTGAAGTAGAGAAATATTTTAAATAGGACACAACATCACTAACTATAAGGAAAGGAAATATATATTTGATTATGTCAAAATAAAATAACACCAACATTATAATTTCAGATATGATATACTGAGAAGGATACTACATCACTTATGTGGTAGTCTTTCCAAATGCATAACCTCAATCTTCTCTAAGCCTAAACTGAGGGACATTTGACATAATAGCTGATTCATCAAAAAATGTTGAGGTCATGAAAAATGAAAAAAGTCTGAGAAACTGTCCCAGAATCGAGGAGACTAAGGGGACATTACAACTAGTTGCATTGTGGGTGCTTAATTGGATCTTAGAACAGAGACAAGATATTAGGGGGAAAATTGGTGAATTTTATTTTATTTTTATTTATTTATTTTTAATTATTTAAATGTTTTATTTATTTCTGAAAGAGAGAGAGAGAGAGAGAGATCAGGGGAGGGTCAGAGAGAGAGACAGAATCTGAAGCAAGCTCCAGGCTCTGAGCTAGCTGTCAGCACAGAGCCGGACGTGGGGCTTGAATCCATGAACCGTGAGATCACCACCTGAGCCGAAGACGGACGTTTAACCGACTGAGCCACCCAGGCGCCCCAAAACTGGTGAATTTTAAATAGGGCCTGTAGGTTAGACAATGTAATTTTCTTATTTAGATTAGTTTACGATGGTTACGTAAGTTGTTAACATCGGGGCTGTCTGCTATAGAGTGCATGTGAACTCTGTGTTATTTTTACAGGTTTACTGTCTGTACTATTTACGCCATTTTACAGTCAATCTAAAATTATCTCAAAATAAAAAGTAAAAAGGAGAATATCTGTTACAAAAAATACCATTGAAGGGTGTAAGTCCTCAAGTGAAAAAAAAAAAACCCAACATTCATAATACCTTTAAGTGAGACTAGGCTCATATCCAGAATATACCAAGAACTTCTATTAGTCAACGCAAATGTTCACCAGCAAATTCTTTTATGAATTAGTATACAGGATTTAGATTCTAACTATATCATATTTATTTGGAAGAAGTAGCCTCTTAGTAACATTGCCATATTGGCATGAGCAACATAAGCATGTGGCAGAGTTATTTTGATTTTTAGGAAATGACATTTATCTTGTTTTACCCTTTAAAAGAAAGTCAAGGCCAGATAATCTAAGATACAGGAATAGAGGGTCATGGAGAAACTACAGTGTGGATGAAATGCATAAACAAGTGTTCAAAGAGATAAAGAGGAAGGTCATGTAATGACCATAATTTCAGAGGAGCCTCAAACCCTGGAGGCAAAACTCCCACAAGAAGATGAAAAACAATGAAAACGCGCTTGGTGCAGTGTTCCTGAAGAACCACATCTTTTTCTGATAAACTTTGGCTTTCTTAATTAAGAAAACGGTTCTCTTTTTTCTCCTACACTAGCTAATTGTATCTTTCTACTACTCGTAGATATATTTTCAGTGGATCTAATCTGTCGTGAAACATGAAACATGTTAACTTACAAATAAATTGAAATACAGTTAAAAAAATGAAGTATATTTGGGGCGCCTGGGTGGCTTAGTCGGTTGAGCGTCCGACTTTCGCTTAGGTCATGATCTCGCGGTTCGTGGGTTCGAGCCCCGCGTAGGGCTCTGTGCTGACTGCCAGCTCAGAGCCTGAAGCATGTTTCAGTCTGTGTCTCCCTCTCTCTCTGACCCTCCCCTCCTCACGCTGTCTCTCTCTCTCTCTCTCTCCTAGAAATAAATAAAACATTTAAAAAAATGAAGTATATTTAAAAAATAATGAATAAAATGAAGTACATCGAGGTTTCTTATAGGCTTCCAATTTAAATTATGTACCAGATGTAGTTTGTTGATAGTGTGAGTGGTTTTTTCCCAAAGTTTATTTATTTTCTAAAGTTTATTTATTTACTTATTTAGAGAATCCCAAGCAGACTCCTGCATTGTCAGCACAGAGCCCTATGTGGGTCTTGAGCCCACAAACTGTGAGATCATGACTTGAGCTGAAAACAAGAGTTGGATGCTTAACCTACTGAGACACCCAGGTGCCCCATCTGAGTGTTATTTTTATCCCTATACAAGTGAGTTAGGACTGCTTTTCACTACATCTTTATAACCTTAATGAGGACAACACAGGGCAGAGGTACTGCAGGTCCTTGAAATACTTATGCTCTTTAACATCCGGTGCCTCCCTGTGAACAGTTGCACCGTATAACAAAAATGGTAGGCAAATGCTTCGTTATTACCTACGTTGCTGCAGAATGTGCTTAATATAGCTTGACACGCAGGTGCGGAAGATTGGTTGAGGGAAACAAAAAAGGGAGGGCAGAGGATCGAAAAGGCAAGATGAAGGCAAAAGCAACACACAATTCATACTAGGAGGACTGACCTACTGGCATGAGGTGAGTCACAAATATGGGGATATTTCCTAGCACCCTGAGTAAGACTACTGAATTTAATGGTCACATACATATAAGAAATATTTACTTGTGCTCTCTCTCTCTCAAAAATAAATACATGTAAAACAATTAAAAAAATATTTACATGATTCAAAAGAGAAACAAAATGATCCATGAGACTGAGATTAAAGAGTAATATCTCCCATGAGTTCTCATAAAGAAGACATTGTATTATGTAACATCCTTTTAGTAAATAAAGCAGTGGGTTATATAACTTTGCTTTTATAATGCCAAAACAAAACTTTACAGGAAGCCAATTTGCTACATGCTAGCTGTACTGATTTCTACTGCTATTGCTCTAGAGGAAATAATAAACTTTATGTCTCTCAGGCAATCATTAATAAATGTAATTTCCTCAGCTGACATTTTTATAACTAGTTTGTAGCGGTAAGCTTAAGAAGAAACCAAAGTTCAGCTATTCTGTTGAGATAAAATTTAGAACTGCTCTGTTAACATTCAGGACAGCTGGAAATAGAAATAATATATTTCCATGAAAGTTGAAGCTGACAAAAGTGAATACTGAAAGTGAGGCTCTATCTCCTCTGCATGAAGAAGGGCGGAGAAAAAATTCTTGGACTGGGTCAACACATTCCTCAAGAAGAGGTTTAATCTACTGAAGCATAGAGACAAATGGAGAGTCAGAGCCATGAGGTTCTTCTTCATAGAGCATGGCCATAGTTACTTTATGTTTTATTTTATTTTTTCATAGTTTAGTGTGGAAAAATATATTAAATCATGCTGTTATGTTGTGTCATGTTATGTTGTATATAACTGTTTTACCTAGAAAATCTCTGTAAGATTCTTTAGAGTAATAGAAGTCTCCAATGTTTTCTCCAAGATAAATTGTTTGCAACATTAGTATCTAGATAATGGATTTAATTTGCTCAGAGGATTAAACATAAGCGAGTTAATAGTTTAGTGTGGTGCGGAGTGTGGGTGGGATGAGGTTTCACCAATTCTTTGAATAGTTAAATAGACGGATCAGTTATTAAGACCATCCCTGCTGTTTGAACATGTCATCTATAGACAATAGAATGCTTCAATTTACCAAAGAATTAGTTAGTGATTGTAGATTGTTTAATTACCTCATGGAATAGCTTCTAATTAACCAAAAAAACGTCCACTTCTACTGGATTTATAAAATTGAAATAACTTGGAACCTATTTCAGTATCAAACTATACTATATCTCACATCTCTTTAGGGAATAAAAGCCAAGTCAAAAAGAAACACAAAATTTTACCATTTTCTGAACTTTAGTTACAAGAAGATGAATTTTTAAAAGTGGTTCCTGAGTGACTCACTATAGTTGCCATTTTCTTACGTAGAATATTGATCCAAAAAGTCCAGACTTCCCATGTATGAAGAAGGAAACTTACACAGGTATTTTAGATGGAATGCCTACTAATCTAAGCATCTGGAGATCAGGGCACTTGGGTGGTTCAGTTGGTTGTGTCTGAGTCTTGATTTTAGCTCAGGTTATGATTTCATGGTCATGAGACTGAGCCCTGGGTCAGGGTCTATGCTGGGTGTGGAACCTGCTTGAAATTCTCTGTGTCCCTTGCCCTCTGCCCCTCCCCCCACTTTCTATAAACAAACAAACAAATAAATAAATAAACAAATATCTAGGGGTCAATAGTTGCCCTTGAAAATAGGATAAACTACATTTTGCTGCCAGCCAGAAGGACTGTCCCATAGAGTTGATGAAGGTCTTTCAATAATTCTGGTAAATCTAGTAGTAAATCTTCAGAAGATGCTTTATTCACTTGAGATTCTTTAAATTGGCTCTAGAACATACTGGACTATGGTTAAGATCTCAGGACACCAGCCTGGATCCATACAAGGACAGGTGAATTTAGAGATGAGAGGACAAGACAATTTAAGTGTCCTTCTGGATGTAAACATCTTCCCAAACTAATTCTTTTTTCATTTAAGATTTTCTGACAGATTTATTTTTATTGAGTTCTAAATAATGAATTTAAATATTATTTAAACATAATAAAACAAAGAGTGTCTCTTCTGGCTTTAATTTCACATACAGACAAGCTAATTTCGCCAACTTGTTCTCCCTTTTTGCCCTACCTGTGGGGCAAAGTATTTGAAGTTTCATAGACATGTTAGCACATCTATGAATGGCTAGATTTCTACAATCTAAAGGGAAAAGACTACAATTCCCCAGTTTCTGGGTTCTTTCTTTCACATAAATGAGATAGTTTTGGTGGCTTCACTCACTCTTCAAAGACAGTAAAATGAGATGGAGGAACAAAAATCTCCAGTATCTAGTCCTAACAAAATGCCGACATGACTGTAACTCAAGTCAATCAAACTGAAATTGAGGTCAGTCAAAGATACTTTGACCAGAGGGAAAATTGTGAAACACACAGGGAAAACTGAAAGCTATAAAGGGAAATAGGAAAACAAATAAGGAATAGAGGAAAACACTTACCTTTTTAGTTAGTTTGGGGAGAAGAGTGATGGGGCTAAATGACACTGACATTTATATCTTTACGACAGTGCAGTGTATTTCCCCTAGAAATAAGAACTAATGGGTTTATAAACTCAAGCCAGTAATCAAGATACAAAAAAGAAAGAATTTCTGGATCATAAGAACTGCTCACTCTTGGTCTTATTTTCTGAGACCTATGAACTTTCCTTTCATGAAGGCCCTTAAAGATTCTCTTGTGCGGGAAGTGGTGATATGATGCCACCTGATGGCAAGGGACAAAAAAGGGTAGATGGAAGGGAACTAACAACTCCTGGGCACCTATTTTGTGCCAGTCTGTACTGCAGGCAATCTTTTTTTCCATTCTTTTTTTTTAATTTATTTTTGAGACAGAGAGAGGCAGAGAATGAGCAGGGAAAGGCAGAGAGAGAGGGAGACACACAGGGCTCGAACCCAAAACCTATGAGATCATGACCTGAGCTGAAGTCAGATGCTTAACCAACTGAATCACCCAGGTGACCTACAAGCAGTCTCTTTAAATCCTCAAAATAAACATGAAGCCCTGGATAAGTTAGTGCTGCAGAGGTCAGAAAACTTTACACATTTAGAGAAGGACAGAGACCCGAACTTATCCTGGGGTGGTATGATGCCACATGTCATCCCTTGCCTCTATGTAACGCTTCTTTCCAGGGATGAGATAGGAGTGCATTCTAATGCTCACATCTCTTTCAGATGAAGTTAACTGTTCATCTGAACCAACAGTTACATTTAATAAGAAAATTTTAAAGTCGTCTATTTGAAAATAAACATTCCTTACTTTTTGACTTATGAACACTGGGGCGTCATTTAAGGAAGTGGCCCAATTTACAAAGTCAGCCAGATTAACCACTTTGGCTCCTTTGAGAAGCTTCTCTTTCAGCTCATATGCGTATTTTGAGGTTCCTCCTCTTATGAGTGAAATAACATCATCTATGAGGTCATCACTAGTGATGTTAACTGAGAAGAGAAAGAGGATATAAGTGAAGCATTTAGAATTCTCTGACGTTTGATCAACATTTATTGAATCCTTTCAAAAATTGTAGACCAGTATATCTATTGAATTTTACTTATATAATTTTTTCACCCAAAATATGCAAGAGCAATTTTTATTAGTAACCAATTGTAGACTTCAATTGTCTTTTAAAAAAAGTGTGATGATTCAGATACATTGATGATTCCAAATTCATCACTTATGCCCATGCATACACGAGAACTAAACATAACCTTTGAGATATACTAGAAATTTTTGTTTTCAGACTTCATAATTACATTTTCTATAAGTTTTCTTTAAACTAACTCATATTAAAAAAAGCAAAGAGTGTAAAAAAAAATCAAAATTTTTTTCCATTTCAAATTCCTACCCATCTCTTCTTCAGTTTCTCTCTCCAGACTAAACTACTTTTAACACACCTTTGTGAATCTTCCAGAATTGTAAATTATTTGAGCTGGAAAAGAATTTCAAGAAGGTTTTTATTTCTCCTTTCTCATTTTTATAGATGAGAAAACAGACTCAGAGAGGTGGAGTGATTAGACTAAGTCTAACCTGAGGGTCAAATATTGAAATTAGGACTTTTATGGCAAATTCAACTTTTTTTGCACGCATCAGTGGTTTCCAATTATGGCCACATGCTAGTAGTTGGTATGCTTTTCAAAATAGGAGGCTTTCCTCTCTCTGCCTACTCGCTATCATCTGCTTCTCTAAAGAAAAGTTGCAAGCATTTATATGTCTGAAAATATTGTCAGGTATTTCTGATTATAGTAAATTGAGCACCCCAGTACTACCTCATACTTATAAATCTGCTAAGTGTTAACAACACAAGCCATATTTATACTAAAGATATTTATGCTTTTAAAAAGGCTATGCACTGATTGAATGTTAAGGATGGGTTGGGTTTTTTTCTCCCCAGTTTTATTGAGATATAATTGAAACACCATAAAAGTTTAAGGTCTACAAGAGAATGCTTTGCCGTACATGTATACTGCAAAATATTTACCACATGCATCACCTTGTACAGTTACAAAAAATTTACCTTTACCTGGGCTGAAAGCTTTTGGTTTCTGCTCTCTTCGCAACTTTCCAATATATCACATGCTTAGCTATTGTCATTAGGTCATACATTACATCTCTAGCGCTTATTTATCTTCTAAGTGGAAGTTTGTACCTTTTGGCTCATTGGACAAAGGTGAGGTTAGGGGTTTTGAGTCAGGTGGAAGGCTGAGTTAAGGAAATGGTTTTGGTCTTCTCCGTTCTTCATGGTCACATACAGTATGACCTAGCCCGTTCAGAGACTTTGTAAAAATTAGAGGGATAAAAGGAGATTTTTGCTGAAGATATTTTCTACCATTGACCTTTTACCATTGCCAGGATAAATACACAAATCTACAAAGACTGTAGTGTAAGTGCCTTGCCCAGAGCTGCACACTGTGTGGCCTGCACAATGGTGTTTCCAATGAATACATGTCCATGGGTTACTTGTGTTTATACTACTATAAAAATAAAAGTCTAAATAACTCTAAGGTTTTTTGTTTGTTTGCTTGTTTGTTTGTTTAATGAAGAGGCTAGACAATAAAGAGGGTTCATAGTGACAGGGTAGGGCTCATTGATGACACCTCCTCCTTTTTTTTTTAAACTAGTGAGTTAGGCCATACTTACCAGTTCTACCTTCACCCCTCTTTAAACAATCGTTTTTATTAATATTTCCTGTGATTTCAGCTCCAACATTCAGCGTACCTTCCAAATTAAATCCGAGACATCTCTGTACGTCCCTTAGTTCAACACCTGTTTAATGTATTTAGTTGAAGGTCATTAAATAATGTCCAAATTTTTTCAATAAATAAATTTCAATTGTGCTATTTTGTAAGAAACATACTTGAATTCCTAGATATTGTTACTGAACTCAAATGCGAGGTCATATCTGACCCACTCTGTCCTCATATTAGAATCTAGTGGCCTCCTTTTGAATTTGCTTGTCAACTTAATAACAAAGGCCATATAAATTTACTTCTTGTTTAAAAGAGACATCACTCAGAATAGGGCAGGTATAGTAAAGTCCTTTACTTCTAACATCATGGAACGGAGACTTTGATGTCTAACATATATTGAATGCTTATCATATGCCCAACATCATTCTAAGCATTTTGTATGCATTAATTAGTGTAATTCTCACACTGACGTTTCAAGTTAAGTTCTATTATCTTCATTTTACAGAAGATGACATGGAATGACAGAGCAGATAAGTAACCTGACAATGGAATCCCGCAGTTAGCCAAGTTAGTATTTGAACCAGAGTTGTCTGGTTATTAAGCACTTCTCTGTATTGACTTCTTAATTTGGTCATGGGATGCATCAACATCTCCTATTCCTCTTTGGAAGACCCTGTTCATTATTAAGGTAGCGAGTTCCTTGCTTTGAGCAGATGGATTATACACATGACAACTTTGTTTTAGTCCTATAAATGCTACTTAGTAGATATTAGTTTTGGAAACTGACTCACCATAGTGTGTGGATGTTACAGTTACTAGGAAGAAAAATCCTAATATTTAATTAAAGTATATCACTTATTATTTAGTTAAAAGAGAGAATAATTATTGTATTACAAGGGCAAACTGCCTCAGTTCATTGAGCATGTCAGTTGTCACTCTTATTTATCATTTCAGATCACACACACACACACACACACACACACACACTAAAATGCTTTATGAAAGAGGAAAGGGAGAAGTGAAGTTAATCCCAGAATTTCATAGTGAAATTTAGAAGTAGGGACCTGGGGACACTTAACCATTCATTTATTCAGCAAATATTTTTTGTGTGCCCACAAATAGTGAGAACTTGAGAAATATCAAGTGGCTTTCCCCAGAAAGGAAGAAGGAGGATAAAAATGGAAGACCTTGCAAGGAATCCAGAATACTAGATTTCCAACTTTAACCTGAGAAGCATAAAGACATTGATTCCGAAGATGGGCATGAAAATATCTTAGTGATCCCTATGAGCTTAGATTCTCTGCCTCAGCTGTGGACCTCTTCATGTCCAGACAGGATGTGGACATCCCAGATCTAGGTGTAGGACATGGTTTGGTCCTCAGGTATTGCCACTGAAGAAGTGAGAAAGATGACTTACTTTTCAAAGATACTAGGATTGACCTAATGATCCTTGTCTAGTAAGGCCAGATGGTAAGTAAATTTAAGTGGGCAGGTCTTAGTTATCCAAGATTAAAGATTGTACTTCATGGAACTTTTTCACCAAGGCAACTCTTAGCCTGAAGTGTTCCTTCTGTTTTGATCACTCTTGCTGAGCCTTTCTCTTCTGATTTTCAAGTCCCTCAAGACACAGTCTTATTGTGCCACTTGCCCATGCACACTATCTATCAGAATAGCCAACCAGGCAGACTTCATTATGCTTTCTCACAGGATATAGCCCTGTGAGGCAGTAAAAGTCAAACAACTTCGTATTCCATTTCTCCTGGCAGTCCCTCTACCTGCTCAAGACTAGAATGAGGCATCAAGAGCAATTAGTTGTGGCTATTCATGTTTGTTTCATCTATAAAGTGTTTACCAACTGTGCAGACAGTGTCAAGCTTTAAGCTCAGAGCCATATCCCATTCTTCACTTGACACAGACAGAGACTAAAGGAAAGAGCCATAGCAATGGTTTTTGGCAACTCTTCTCTCCCTAAGAGACACACTTTTGAAAGCAGAGAAAAGAGATTTACTCTGGCATCTATCTCCTCTTTAAGGAATATTATAACTAGCCATAACTGCTCACAAAATGAGTAATTAAAACTTATTAACACAGTCATTTTGCACGTACTTTAGTCTTAAAAGGCCTAGATGAAACCTTTGGGCCAGTATGGTAATTATGTAGGACATAGGTCTTTCCTAGATACCTGGCAGACATTGCTGATCAACCATGGCCTTCTTTCCCATAATTTTGAGCGTGGTCAGACATCTACCCAACATGGACTGAATTCTACTACCACCATCTGATTAAACTTGTCATAATATGAGATGAAACTAATTTTCTGCCTTTGCCTCATGACATTAGACTTATATCTTAACATTACTTTGTCCATCCTCCCTAAGAGACAATTTAAAACAATATTTTCCTTCCTTGCTGAAAAGTCCCTTGGAAAATTATTGTCAACACATAATTGAATCCATTTATTAATTAAGAAATAGATTATGTAAATTATGTCTCTTAAACTTTTTCCAGTTTTTAAGTAGTATTTCACTAAAAGCAGCATCACCAACTGATATTAAGTTGCAGTAGAATTTTGTGCATTTCTCAGTAGTGCTGCTGAGTAGTTCATGACCAAGTCATTGTGTTTGAGGGAGAAGTCAATTTGCTGTTTGCTGTTTAACAGGGTTTTGATGCCAAAGGGCAAGGAGAGAATTCTCTCAAAGAAGCAGATTATAGGACTTTATTTTAAAGCCTTTAATCATTGAAAGAGGTTCGCAATAGGAATAAGGATTGGCTAAAATAGCGTTAGACGTAAGAGCTCTATTTCTAGGTATACCTTTCTCTTTCATGTTTGCTTTATCCAAAATGTATATTAGTTCGTAGAATCCTCCTAGAGACCCAGAGCTACTGTAGTGGGTTCCATAGGTTTCCAAAAATGCAAAATATTCCCCCTTTTCATAGGTAGTTGGCAGAGCTTTTAAGTCATCCAAGAAAGTTGTTGTCAGCATGACATCCCGACTTCTCATTGTAAATCTTCCCAGATGAACTACCCCTTTCACATGCAGGAACACTTTTTCCTGTGTTGTGGAGCAGAAGAAAAGAAGCAGCCATTGTTTCAAATTTAAAAATCACAAAATCTAGAATTTCCCCAGGCAATAATTAACAATTCTTTTTAGTGACCATGGATACTTTAACCCAGTAAGGTGGCAAACTCAGAATACCATTAGTCCCAACCGTTGATGAAAATGTGTAGCTCTGGGATTCTCAGTCACTGCTGGTGGGAATGTAGAATGGTCTATTCGCTCTGGAAAAACTGTTTAGCAGTTTCTTATAAATGTAAACACACATTTACCCTATGGCCAGTAATTGCACTTCTACATATTGACCTAAAGTGAATGAGAAAATAGACCACAGAAAGATCCATACAGGACTTTTATAGCAGCTTTAGTCAGAATAGCTTAAAACTGGAAACAACCCCAATGTCCACCAACAGAAGAATTGAAAAATTGTGTTATGTTTACACAAAGGAGCACTACTTAGCAATAAAAAGGAAAACACTACATGCAACAATATAAGTAAATCTAAAAAAATATTACGCCGAATGAAAGAAGCCAAGCGCAAAAGAGTATGTGCGGTATGATTTCACTTACATGAAGTTCTAGAACAGGTGAAATTAAGCTACGGTCAGAGAAATCTGGAGTGCTTGTCTCTCAGGCGGTAAGGGAGTGACTGAAAATGGGCATGAGGGAATTTTCTTGAGGTGACGGAAATGTTCTACATCTTGTATGAGGAGGTGGTTACACAGCTGAATACATACAATGGTCAAAACTCATGGAGACTTAAAATGTTTGCATGTTATTGCTTGTAAATTATACCTCATTAAGTTGATTTTAGAATGTTGGCAATGAAAGAAAAGGTGGACCTTACAGATGGAGCCCAATCTTCTCATTTTGCAGATGAGCAAATTCTGATCCAAAGGTGTCAGGTTATTTGCCTCAGATCACAAAAATAGACTGGCAGTGATTGGTACTATAAACCTAGGTCTCAGGTCTCCCTGCTCCTTCTACTATGTAGTTTAAATTTTTTTTTAAGTTTATTTATTTATCCTAAGAGAGAGAGACAGACAGAGACCAAGAGAGAGGGAGAGAATCTCAAGTAGGTTCCATGTTGGCAGCATAGAGCCCGCCACAGGGCTTGATATCATGAACCCTGCTACCATGACCTGGGTGGAAATCAATAGTTAGATGCTTAACTTACTGAGCCACCCAGATACCCCACTCAATTTTTGGTAATAAGATAGACAATATTTTAAGACATGAGACCTAAATAGGTAAAGAGTTAACCATTCCCAGAGATGATGGCTTAAATTTCCAAGAGTAAGCCATAGACTGTCCCAGCCAAAACTAAACTATAATGGACACCTATGATTTTGTAGATGGTTCATTTAAGGTTCTTCTCCTATAGTAGTGGTTAACACATGTTGATTGCACAGAAGTTTAAAACATATTATTATTTTTTAAAAGTATATCTTGGTATATACGAACATCACACCAAACTTTCTGTGTTCTGGAAGCACAGTTGTTCACACAGTATGACTTAACTTCATGTGATCGTTGGTGATTCAGTCTTCAACAAAAATCTTAAAGAAACTTACTCCGTATACAATAAATCATATGAGTTCTCCTGAGGAGAACTCCATAATAATTCTTAGTGGAGTCTCAAGGATACATAAAGCATATTTGGATTCCTTTCCATTGTTGCTAAAATTAGGAGTGTAACTTGTCAGAAAGATGTTCTATTCTTTGGATCCACTTATTTTAGAGATAGATCTTAAATCATTTCCATCCAAACGTAAAGTTGTTGCTTTCGTGCTAGAGTACTAAAAACAAAATCTCTTGGCCTCACTCGTCTGATGATTTGCTGTTTTCAATTCCTTCTCCCCATTTTCTCTTAAAATCTAATCCAGTCATTCAGCTCTCCTCACTACTTCAACAAAACTTCTCTTGTTAAGGTCACCAATGACCTTCACAATGCTAAAGCCAGTAGCAGTTATTTAGTCCCTCTTCTTTGACATATTATCACATTTGGCACAGTTAATTACTCCTTTCTTTTTGATAGTTATATTCCTTATCTTCTAGGGCAGTTCTTTTCAAGCTGTAAAGTGCGAACACATCACCTGTAGAATCTTGTTAAAATGCAGTTCTGATTCAGGTCTGGGTTAGAAGCTGAGGTTCTAACTTCCCAGTGATGCTGATGTTGCTGATCCATGGACCACACTTTGAGAAGTGAGGTTTTAGGGCATTATACCTGATACATCTTGCTGTCCTCTACTGCTTCTTTCTCTTTCTTTTGATGTTTCTTGAGTTTAGTCTTTTTTTTTTAACAAAAATTTTATTCATTTATTTTGAGAGAGAGGGGGAAAGAGAGAAAATCCCCAGCAGGCTCCATGCTGTCAGCACAGAGCCCTACATGCGGCTCAATCTCACGAACTGTAAGATCATGACCAGAGCCAAATCAAGAATTGGACACTTAACTGACTGAGCCACCCAGGTGCCCCATCTATCTCATTTGGTAGCAAGTTCATCTTTCCGGTTGTTCAGGTGTAAAACCTTAGATTCATGCTTGACTCTACACTTGTGTCTGTCGTCACTCACCCAGATTCTTACAATAGCTGTCAACAAATCTTGCTCTTAACTTTCATGTTTCTTCTCATTTAAAATATGTTAGAGTATGTCAATCTTCTATTCAAAACAAAATTCTAGTGACCTCTCATGTCACTCAGAGAAAAAGCTAAATTTGATGATCTGGTTCAGGGTAATATTTCTAACTTGTTCTCCTTCTGGTTCACCCTAGCCCAATGAACAGATAAGTTCCCACCTTACAGGCTTGTCTCTAGCAGTTCTTTTTGCCAGGTACTTCATCCCAAATATGACTATTTGGTTATTTCCTCTCCTTCAAATCTTTGCGCAGATTTCTTTGAGCTTTCTTTTTACTATTGCCATTTTCCCAGCACTCCTGATTTCCCTTCTGTAACTCTACTTTCCACTTTATTGCATAGCACTTAACGCTTTTTAAGTACTATGTACTTGCTGTTTTGTGCTTACTCTGATTTTCTCTATCTCTCTGTGCTGAACTTTCAGTTCCATGAGGACAAGAATCTTTTCTAGTTTGGTTCACAAATGTATCCTAAGTACCTAGAACAGCACCTGGTCACATAGGAAATCCACATTAAGTATTTGATGCATGATTTAAAGGATTTTCCAATGGCATACTTTGGATGGGTATGCGTGTTAATATAGAGACAATGGACAGACCCATACAAAACAACTATATGATTGAGCATAAGTACTAAGAGTGAATTACGATTTTTAAAGTAGGAGAGGGTATCTAAATAAGGAACTGTGTAGTCAGAAAAGGAAGAATGAGCATTTTACCAGTATCATACTGATTACAGAAAGTATATTCTATATTTATTTCAAAGGTGATGGAACAAAATTCTAAATTAGGATTAAATATTAAAAACAAACCCATTTGCAAAGCTTCAAATCAAAGGTGTGATTACAAAAGAAGCAGACAAGTTTCATATGCTATGTGTACAATTTCATGCCATTCTTTCTTTAGAGACACTTTGTAGTATGTAAATAGCCATCAGCGTAAAACATGGCAGTGAATTACCAAAATTCCTCAGTATGATTCTTTATGGTAATTCTGAAGGTAGTATAAATTGAACAATCTATTATCACAATCTCAGTCCAAAGGTATGCTCTGTATTCTAAATACGCTTGTTCTCTGTTCATCACCACCAAACATCTCACCCATTTATACTATTACAGATCTTATCCAGTTCTCCAGTTAACATTCTTCTTCCTGAACTTCTAGCTACATATTTGAGGATTTGTTGATTATTATTACCATTAGTTTTTTCTCTCTCCTTCCAATGAGCTGTATGTGCTCCAAACACTTAAAAGAGGGAGTTTTGGGGGATGCCTGGGTGGCTTCATGAATTAAGCATCGACTCTTGATTTTGGTTCAGGTCATGATCTCATGGTTTGTGAATTTGAGTCCCACATCAGTGTCAGTGTAGAGCTTGCCTGGGATTCTCTCTCTCTCACTCTCTGTCTGCCCCTCCCCTGTTTGTTTGCTCTCTCTCTAAATAAAAATAAACAAACTTTAAAGATAAAGCAAAACCCATATATTAAAAAATAAAAAAGAGGGAGTTTGGCTATTTTGAAAAATATCCCATCATACTCTGTATTAAGTGTTTGGCCTTACCTTCTTTGAAGAATGTGACAAGAACAGTTGGTAAGTTTCATTTTTGGAATATGCAAATCGAAATTTACCCTCAGCATTTATAAGACCTGAGAGATCCTTTTTGACAGTTTCCTGAGGTTTACTTTTGAACTGTTCAATTGCTTCAGTGGGTGTGAATTTTAAAGTGATATCTGCATTAAAATTTGATGTCTTCTCTTGGACAACTTGTTTGAATACTTGAATATGATCTTCATAATATTCAGTTCTGAAGTTTTTATCAGCTTTGGTCTAAAAAGAGAATCATGAAATGTTGTTAAAACCAACATACAGAAAACCATCCCAAATAAGCACAGAATAAAGTAAAAAATCAAACAATTATTTAAAAGGTATTTGAACAAAAGAGTTAAGAGTGAGGCATTGAAGTGACACAGCTGGGCTCCGGGACAGACTCCATGATTCTGAGAACAGGACACAGAAACTTCTCCGTGAGTCAGATTCCTTCTGTGAACTAGAGAGACTCACCACAGGGAGCCTAAAGGGTATTATGAGATAGTACACCACAGGGAGCCTAAAGGGTATTATGAGATAGTACAGTGAGATACTGCATGTGAAGGGCTGAGAAAACTGCAAAACTTTCAGATATTAAGTATGTTCATAATTAAAGAACAATTTGTGTAACAGATGTGCAATATACTTTCATTTGTGTAAAAGAAAAGAAAAAAGAAAAGAAATGACCCCAAAGGCTTATAGGTCAGCTCCGCTTTGAATAGTTTTTGCATGGTAATTAATTTAAGCAGAAAGGTTAAGACTTGAGTCGTGCATTGTCTCTTAACCTTTACACTTCTACTGTCTGTTAAAAAGGAAATAAACAAGCAAACAAACAAACAAATAAAGGAAAGCAAACAAGCAAAAAAAGGTTTTTGTATGCATAGGAAATTACTAGAGAAATAGACAAAGCAGGGAGTGTTTGCCCTTGAGAAGGGGAACAGTGGAACGGAAATCTGGAAATCTTGAGTGGCAGTAGTCTTCTATTTCCTTGAATAACCTTTTGTGATGTTCAGACTTTTTAACTCTTTTTTTTATACCACATTTATTTTTTGCATGGAAAAAAAAAATCCTGACCTGAGCAACCCAGTTAAAAATTAAAACTTTCAATTAAAGAATTCTTAGCCAACTTGGCAATGGTCAGATATGAGTGGGAGGGTTGCTAGCCTCAGTGATTAAACTCTCTTTCCAGAGGTCCTCTGTGATAGGCTGTCACTCCAGTCTGAGAAGGAGACACCCATGTCTTCAGTCAGTGGCCCGGATTGGATTCCCTAGCACACAGTGGGGGACCGTTCTGCACAGAGAATGCTATGGTCTGAAATTTTACAGAACAAAATCCGTATGTTAAAATCCCAGTGCCTCAGAGATGGTAGGAGGTGGGGCCTTTGGGAGGGGCTTTCACAAATGAGATTGCTGCTCTCATAACAGTGACCCCACAGAGCTCCCCAGCCCCTTCCATGATGTGAGGATGTGAGAAGTCTCTAGCCTAAGAGAGGTTCCTAACTCAACCAGGTTAGCACTCTGATCGCGGACTTCCAGAACTTCTGATGTTCTCATCTCCAGAACTGTGAAAAATAAATTTGTGCTTTTTATAAACTACCTTGTTTGTGGTATTTTGTCATACCAGCCTGAATGGACTCAGATAGGGAAACTAAAGTTACCATCTAATGGAAATGACTAAAATGTGTGTAGTTTTCATTAAAGGAAGGCATGCTGGGAAAAGTGCTAATATAAAGGGGAAAACTAACTTAACCATGTCACTTACTTCCCTCCTTAAAATTTTTCAGTCTTCCCACTGCCTTTAAGAGGTAGTCTAAACTAGACTTATTCCAAGCTAATCTCTCCCTGCTGTACCTCAACCCTTTAGACACTGTTCTATTTCCACAGCCTATGCTTCTGCTACCACAGGACCCATTTAAGCTGCTTTTACTTTCTGGAATGCTCTCTGACATCTTCCCCCCATCCTCCCATAAACCAAACACATACAAGTTCTCTTACATACATACACTATTCAGCTTGACCTGGTTAATTCCCACTCCTATTTCAAGTCTTAGCATAAACATCACTTCTTCAGTGGGGAGGGCTCTTTCCTAATCCCACAGACTAGCATATCTGTTTTCTATAAGCTGTCATGCCTCTTAAGGTAAAATAAAATGAAAAATCTTTTCTTTTATGATTGCTTATTTAATAGACTTTCAAATGGTAAGTTCCAAAAAGTCTGGAAAGATGTCTATTTTATCCACACACCACTACAGCCTTGCTGCTTGGTAAAGTGTCTGTCACAGAGTTGATGCTAACAAAAATGTATTAAATTTAATATGCAGCTCCAATATAGCTAATAATAATAATGAATATTTATGGAGTGCTTACTCTGTGTCAGAGGCTGTTAAAGTGGTGTATGTAGGGTTAGACATTTAATTTCTTATCTTTAAGATAATTTCTATAATTTTCCCCATCTTACCAATAAAAAAGCACAGGTTAAGAAATTTGTCCAAGGTCACATGGCTAGGAAGTGGTACATCTAGCATTGAAACCCAGAAAATCTGATTCCAAGGCTGAGCTGTTAATTCCTATGCTACACTGTCAAAGAGGGCTTGACAAATTCAGACTAGTAAAATAAAGAAGACTCATGGGAAATGTCACCTTGAAATTAGCCTTGGAAAGTGAATAGGATTTCTGTTGCCTTGAGATCTAAGGCTAGTGGAAGTATTGCTGGGGAAACTGGGGAGACCCCAGGCCCTCAGGCCTTGACCCAACCATCAGGAGGGAGTCAGGGAAGGTCTTGGTCTTGACTCGAGAAAGAATTCAAGGACAGACACTCAACACAGTGGATGAGTGACACAAACGGGAAAGTTTATTAAAGTGAAAGGTACATTCTCTGGATACGAGAGCAGGTGAGCTTGAAGTGGGGGAGGGTGTACCCTGGGGGTTGGGTTTTTATCTTTTATTGATAGTTGTTAACTAAGGGGTGGAATATGGCCAGAAACAGGGCTTTTGCTTTTTCTTCTTAATTGGGTCAAAGGTTTCCTGTCATGGCACCTGTCATCTTGGGCCTGTCTGGTTTTATACGGCTTCATCTGGAGTACTTGCAGGATAGGCTTCTGACCTTCCTGATAGTAGGCCATGACTTCCTTGTTGCTGACCTTTATCCTGTTAACACCTAACAGCTTACTCTAATGCAAGCACCTGAAGACCATTCTACTCAGTCCTCAGTGCTGGGAAGTGCCAAAGCCAAGCAAAATGGCACCAGGAAACCACTCCATAACTCTCTTGGAGGACTGAGCTCTTCTTAGCTCTAATTGGCTGCAAGATAGGGGTGGTTTAATCTGTAAGAACCTGCATGTATTCCTGACATGGCTAGAAAGAAACTGGCACTGGCAGAGATCAGCTTAGCAGTGTGGAGGATTGCCTATAGGGGTAAGAGAATATTAGTCAGGGTGTTAGGATGCTGTTGAACGATCCTTTCTCATTATGCCAGGATGATAGTAGTGAGTAGAAACAGTGACGTGGGGTCACTCTAGAAAGTACAGAGACAGAAGCTGGGTTGAAAAAGGTAAAAAAAATAGTATCCATTTATCCAAAAACAAGTCTGAGCTCAACGACAGGCATTCAGAGGTGGACCAATATTGGGAATCATCATGAAGGAACAGCAAAAATCTTTGAAGAAAAGTCAAAACGCAAAATTTTAGAAAGCAGGATGATGGAAGGATAGAAGCAAGTTTCTTTCTTTTTTTTAAACGTTTTTAAAATTTATTTTGAGAGAGAGAACATGCATGCAAGCAGGGGAGAGGTGGCAGAGAGAGAGGGAGAGAGAAAATCCCAAGCAGACTCTACTCTGTCAGCATAGAGCCCAATGAGGGATTTGTTCTCACAAACTGTGAGTTCATGACCTGAGCTGAAACCAAGAGTTAAACACTTAACCTACTGAGCCATCCAGGTGCTCCCCCCACCAAGTTTCTTAATAAAAACCAAAATAACTAGATGTGGAGAAGCTGAAATTAGAGAGAGAGGGCGGAAGGCCATGCACATTATAAGGGTCAGTTCAATCTCTCTGTCTAAAGGTTTATCGAGCTGATGCTTCTTGAAAAGAAAGAAACATTACTTCTGGCACTGGGAGTGGAAGAGATAGAAAGCAACCAATAAATATTTCAGAGTTCAAACTGAAAGGAAGAGATGGGAGAGTGACTGGAAATAGAAGGTAAAGAGGGAGAACTGTTAGAACACTAAGACTTTGTGCAGGTAGATAATAAACCCATATATTATTTATTATTACCAATGTCATCTCTCACTAATTGAGAGAAGGAACTAGAAAGAACAGACTGACTGCAATCTCAGGAGCTGATCTCAGCCTAATTGTTTAACTACTAAATTTGGGGGTAACTTGAAATTTAGCTATACAGTTCTACATTTATCTTCAAGAGATCTTTTTCCCTGTCCATGCCTTAAATGTTAGTGTGCTCTAGGGTCTCATTCCTATGTTCTTTTCTCTTTCATTGTACGCTTCCTGGATGATCTCAAGAGCTGTCAAGATTTTAATGATCATCTATAGGCTGATGATTTCTAAATCCCTGCTTCCAACTTAGATCATTCTCTCTCCCCTCACATTTTTATAACCTACTCTTTGCAGGACAACTTCATCTAGACGTCACACAGATCCTCGCACTCAAAATTATCAACATTCAAATCATTATCTTCTTCCTGGAATTGACTTTGACTCTTCTTTTGGCAGATTCCCCCCTCCCTGACTTCCCACATCATTTTTGGTGGCCTATCATCCAGTGGGGGTGGGGGGGTCTCCTTTGACCTACTGTCTCCATACTTTACATCCATGGTGAGTTTACTTTGTTATGTAAGATCAACTGGGAGGAAAATAGATGCCAAAGAACTGGGTCTCCATGGGGTCCAAGGATAGGTTTGGGCTCATAAATATGGGTGAGAGGTGAGAGACTGGTCAGTTGCAGTGAGGCAAAGGGTTAAATGTTTGATTTCCCGATGTTCAGATTTTAAAGACAACACTGTTTTAGTGAACACAAGTTAAGGATGTAGTTCCAGATGTGAGTGGCTGTCATAGAATAGACACAGAACATTAAGAGGCAACAAGAAGTTATTGGCAGCCACAGGATATAAAAGTCACCCAGGGTTTTGGCAAGAGTTGGGCAGGAAAGGATGATTATAATCCAAGTGCATTTTACAATTCTTTGTTGATCTCACAAATCTTACATATTTATGGTGATCCTGTTTAAAGAAAATTGTAATGAAAACCTAAAACCTGATTTACAAATTGTGACTTTCAACAACAACAGTGGAGAGGACCAGAGAGAAACAAGTGAAAAGGAACTGATTTGTACATGTAACCATCACTGGTTTTCTTCCCCATAATTGTGGGCTTCAGTGGTTCTTGGTCATTACTTCTGATTTACAAAGTAGCCAATAAACCTTGACTTGTAGTGTGACTGCTAATTACACATTTAATTGTAACTAAGTCTTTTACCAATTATATTGTCAAGAAAGAATAATACAAATATTTACTGAGTGTTTGCCAGTAATTTCATGAGTGTTTTAGATTCATTTATCTTTACAAGGTAGGCATCATTATTTCTATTCTACGGGTGAGTAAACTGAGGCATGATGAGGATAAATAATATGTCTGAGGTCTCACCACTGCTTAGGGCAGACCTGGGATTCCAACCTACGTAGTGTGTTCTAGAACCAGAGCCGCATTTGAGATAAGAGGCACTAGGAGAGTGGGAAGGGAAAGATAACTTTACTAAGAAATATCCCTCATATCATGATAGGCCCATAAAATTCTTTCAAAAAATAAAAGACAGTAAATCACTGTCAGTGAGTGACTACAATAGGATTTAAAAATGAATTCATCCAATGAAAATTTGCTGAGCATATTCCATATCCATATATTTAGTTGGATATTAGCACAATAGACTATATATATATATATATATATATATGCACACACACACATTCTCTCTCTCTCTCTCTCAATGGAATATTAGTTGGCAATAAAAAAAGAATGACTCTTGCCATTTGCAACAATGTGATGGAACTAGAAAGTATTATGCTAAGTAAAATGCTAAGTCAGTCAGAGAAAGATAAATATCATATGATTTCACTCATATGTAGAATGTAAGAAGCAAAACAGACAAACATAAGGGAAGGGAAGCAAAAATAAGATAAAAGCAGAGAGAGAGAGGCAAACCATAAGAGACTCTTCAATACAGAGAACAAATTGAGGGCTGCTGGAGGGGTGTTGGGTAGGGGGATGGACTAACTGGGTGATGGACATGAAGAGGGACACTTGTTGGGATGAGCCCTGGGTGTTATGATGAATCACTAAATTCTATTTCTGAAACAATTATTATACTATTTGTTAACTAACTTGGGTTTAAATAAAATAAAATAAAAAAGAAAGAAGAAAAAAACCCAAAATAACAGCAGGAAAAAAATGCATTCTCTGCCTTCAGTTACTATAATAATACGCATGAAAAAAGAGGTAAAATATTACATTGACTATTAGAAAGTGCAAAAAGAAATTCTTTCTGAGAAGCCAAAATAGAGATTTCCATTCAGGTTCTTCTCTGTATGGAAGAAAGGAACTTGGCTATTTCCCAAGCCTGTGACAGCTTAGAGTGGGGGGAGCGCGAGCGCTTGCAGCACCAAGAAGGTGACGTGGGGACTTTGGCACGCCCCCAGCCAACTCCATCGGCACTCCCCATCCATTGACACCAACTAAAAACCCAGGTCCGCATCCAATGTGTTTGGTTACCAGATGCTGCTCCCAGCTCCCCGGGCGTGTGAGTAATATACCCGGTAAGCAACACATCGCCTTTGTAGAATCATAACTACTCTGAGTGCAGAAACCCATCTGTTCCCAGGGTTGTGAATAAGCGAAGACACTGTATTTGCTCTCCAAATGACGCTTTTTCAGTCCCAGGCAACGTCCCAGCCCTCACCATCTTGTGTCACTCGCAGCCATTCCCACCCCTATAGAGAAGCTAAGTCACAGTGACGAAGACAGGGAAATTGTGATGCAGACCTGAGAAACAAAGTTAAGACAACAAACCCTTCTTCCATCAGCAATGACAAAAGCCACCTTATCTTTGGTATATTCTTTTTTTTTTTTTTTTAAAGAAAGTGGAGCATTCTCAATACTCTTTAAAAAGAATCTCTTTCAAAAAATGTGCTTAAAGAGGGTAATCCTGGCATTAGAGGGAAAAATCAATAATCCAACATGTTCCCTGAAATTTGGGGGAAAATTGATTCTATTCTGGACTTACAGGTACAAAAAATAGGATGATGTGGTTGCATATGAAAAAAATGCCAGCCAAATAGTCCAGACTTTAAACTCTTTAGTATTCATGGGAGAGCATGATCACTTCATGCCAGGTTACAGTGGGTAGGTATTGTTTTACAACATTGTTAAAACAAAAGAAATATCAACTGCATTTATTTAAAAGTGTATGTGTTTTTGAAACCATTGTGAGTGACACTAGTAATAAAAGACTGTGAAAACTGAGTAAAACAAACTTTATGGGTCACCCATGAGACCATTTAAGAAAACATGTTATTGTAGCTTCTGGTTCAGAATAAGCCAATTATTGTTCTTTATTATATCTTACTTAGACAAAATTTCTCTAAAGATGATAAATACTAATCCTTTAAATCGACAGGTCCAGGTTGTGATGTTTCTAGAGAATTTAGGTGACTTTTAGGAAGGTGGGCACGTTTGGGGTGGCATTGTGTATGGTAAAAATCATTTTAAGAAATAGCTTTACAAGAGCTAGAGAGGTGTGAGGTTAGTGAAAAGGGCCATTCACATTAGTCAAGCAGGCTTTACCAAGGGGAATGGTGGAGGAGAAAGAAATATAAAGATGGGTTTTCACTGGTAGGCTAGCAAAAAATGATCTTAAATAACATGTAAGCAGTGTACCCAGTACTTAAATCAGTATGAATTTAATTTTTAGTTTTATCAGGACCTTAGATGACTCTCTTTATGGAGTCTAGGTATTTGCCAAAATTCTATCACTACATGCACATTACTGAGGATTGTCCTAGACCACTGTGTATTTTCGAAAGAGATTGATGCCACACCTTTTTTTCTTTAAGTCAGTCTTATATTCACATTAAATTCTTATTCTGCTGAACTTTTCAAATTATTTAGTATTAAACTTATTGAGGTGGCTTTTCAGCTAAAAGCTGGGCGATGTGCTTGCTTCTGAGACTTACTTCATAGGCCAGAGAAGCCACGTTCCAGGGTCTGCGGTAGTAGACCAAGGTATTTCCATCCCGAACTCGTTCACAGAGTCCATTGTAAAACTCATTGTCAAAAGGTGTGCTTAGGGGATCCATCCCTAAGATGTTGATGCTGAGAATGAACAGAGTAGCATTAGGTACGGAGATACCAGGAGTTAATGCAAGGCAGTCCTCTGCAGCTGTGGAAAGAGAGAGCTTTGGCTCACGTCCCCACCACCTAATATATGCATGATATAATCAAGAGCCTGCCCCCTTCTGCCTTACATCTCTGGCAGGAGGCACATCTTAGGAAGACCTTATAAACTTCCAGGCAACCTTGGCACTGTGGAGAGCACACAATGAAAGATATGCAGTAAGGTGGGAGCAAGGGACCATCTGGCTCCTAGAGTCTTAACTCCAATATTGTAACTCTCAGCTAACCTCCCTTAGTGAACTAAGAACCAACTCTGTTAACACCACCTATTTAAGTTATTTGAAAACAGAGCGCCTCATGGGGGCAGTATAACATATGCATGTAATTTTTAATCTTTGAAACAACACTGGGGCTCTTTCTCTCCCCATTCTCTTTAAACTTAAGCTTTTTCCTCCAGCTGCCTCACTGCTTGTCAAGTACCTCATTCCCTCCAGGCTTACATTCTATTATACTTTCCAAAGGGAAACACAAAAATTTCAGCATCCTCACAAGGCAGTCTCAGAAGTTCTACTTTTTCCTCCCAGCAAATTTTTTTATTTGGAAAGCTTTAATTCAGAAATAGAAATCTTATTTATCTTACAAGAAGTTAAGTTTGGGTTGTAGGGCTCAAAGCAATGTATGAACAAGAAGCATTCTCTGTGAAGTACACTTCTGCTTATCGGAGGAGAGGTCATTGCCTTCTAGACTGCATCTGAAACACATGTTTCTAGACAGAGGAGGCCAAGATAGAGGTCTGATCCACACATCTGTAACTGAGTTTGACACAAAAGCAGAAATTCTTCCGTTTCTCTAGACCATATCCCAAACTTTTGGGATTCTCGTGCGCGCGCTCTCTGCCCCTATCCTGCTTGTATGTGCTCCCTCAAAATAAGTAAAGAAACTTAAAAAAAAAAAATCCGAAGCAGAATACACATGGGCCAAATGAGTATCACAGGTAAGTGCAACACAGGTTTCCAACAGGAAGAAACTCCACTGCAGGGTCACAAAGAGCGTTTTAGAAGAAGTAGGATTTGACTTGGGTTTTGAAGGAAGGGGATATTAGAGCAGAGGGAATGGTGTGCATAAAAGCACGGAGGTGGAAGTGTGTGTGGCATGATTTTGGGGAGAAGTGTTCAGATTTTCTGCCTGTTTCCTCTATAAAAGATGATGTTAAACTCAGTCTGACTGCACAATTTTAGTTTGACATCTAAAATTTTTCATCTTGGGGTGCCTGGGTGGCTCCGTCAGTTAAGCATCCAACTTTGGCTCAGGTCATAATCTTGCGGCTGGTGAGTTGGAGCCCCACGTCAGGCTCTGCGCTGACAGCTCAAGAGCCTGGAGCCTGCTTCAAATTCTGTGTCTCCCTCTTTCTCTGCCCCTCCCCTGCTCATGCTCTGTCTGCCTCTCTCTCTCTCAAAAATAAATAAAACATTAAAAAAAGCTTAAAAATTTTTCTTCTTAAGTTTAAGTAGTTGCAAAGGGTATAATTTCTCAACAGGCTACAAATATTTACACCTTAAGATACAATTATTTTGCCTCTTCTTAAAATCAGTCCAATGAGGGGCGTCTGGGTGGCTCAGTTGGTTGAGCATCTGACTTCAGCTCAGGTCATGATCTCGCGGTTAATGCTTCCGAGCCCCGTATCGGACTCCGCTGATAGCTCAGAGCCTGGAGCCTGCTTCAGATTCTATGTGTCTCTCTCTCTGCCCCTCTCCCGCTCATGCTCTGTCTCTCTCTGTCTCAAAAATAAAATAAACATTAAAATAATAATAATAATAAAATAAATCCAATGAAATGTAAATGCCATAGTGTTGGTGGGTATCAAACCATTGCCATGTTTATATAGCTGTAGCAATTCGACAGCTTATAGTATTCTTTTCGATTCCTTTTTTTTTAATACACTTTAGTTTTTTAGAGTAGTTTTAGGTTCATTACAAAATGAGTGAAAGATACAGAGTTTTTTTTTATGTCCTTACCCCCTTTTTATTCTTGAGTCCATATTTCTATTTCAATTTCACAGAATTTTAACCTAATGTAATGTTATTTTAGCTTGGAAATTTTACTTGTTTATACTTTTCTGTACTAAAAAGGTATTAATTAAGTATTTTAAAATATTTAATGTCTTTTGACCAGAGGGTCTAAGCAATTAAAAGCTCCTCTGGATTGAGTTATTATTATCAGTATAAATAAGTATTACAAATTTTAAAGTAGTTAATAAACATAAGTAATTGGGGGGGAATGGTGTCTCAAGGAAATGAATGGGCTTGTTTTTAAATTAATTGATGAGTTCCTGCCCTTGTGGGTGAATATTCCTTGTTGCTAGAAAAAGACAAGATTCAGGATCAACTGTACTCCCACCTTCCATTATTATAGATGTCAATGCTGAGAAACTTTACTCATGTACATAAGTAGATAAGAACAGGAGGAATTTTATCATGGCAATTTCACTTGATTCTTTGATCTTCTGAGTTTTGTGCCAAAAAAAAAAGATCACAGACTAGTTTTTCATTAAAAATTATTTTCATAGCCTATTGTCTGACAATTGATTAGAATACCTTTAAGTGTCATGGATAAAAAGAGTGGGAGACCAGTTGACTTACGAGGCGTTGGTGTCCGACTGAGCAGCAATATTTGGGGATGTTTCTTGGTTCCTCCACATAGTAAAATTTAGGTGGGCGAGGGATATATTCTGCTTTTGTAGGTTTTGTTTTACAGAGCAGCAAATTGACTAGTTGGCTGGTTCCATCTAGAAAGTTACCATGAAGCTGATCCACAGTCTAAAGCACAACTAAGGAAGAAATGTTTCAAAACTTTTGACTCGGTTCCACTACTACAGAGACAGTCAGTCTAGTCTAGAATGAGCCAACTTTTTTTTCAGCCAAGAACATGAAAACTTCTCATGGATGGAATGTCATCGCCTGGGAAATAAAAAAACCCTGTATATTTTGGCAGTACCTAAAGATGCCTGTTTTCGTGCTAGCATCTAGAATCAGAGGCAGTTCGAATTTACCAGGTAAACAGAAAACAAAGCTCCTTCCACAGAAGTGGTGTTATGCTTAGATCACATTTTAAAAAAAAGTAATTCATTACATACTGTACATCATTTACAGATGGCTTGGATTTATATTTTTTCAATGAATGCAAGATGGGTTGGGGATTTCCCTAAACACTTCTGGAGAATCTCAGATGCCTACAAGGCAAGAGGCGGAAACATTTGTGATACAAGGGAATTCTCCTAGCATAAAGAATTTAAGTGGGAGTCCTTCAAATGCAAAACACGTACACGTTAATGACATGACCGCGGGTAATAACTTGTGACTTTCATGTGTTAAAGAATCTGACTGTGTATGACTGCTGATAAGGCTCATTGAGACTTTCCAGATTGGATTGTGTAGAAGCAGTTTATAAGCATGTTGCTATAACTAGGGTGTTACTCCTATTACCTCTATTCAAGATATCCCATAGGCCCTTTGAAGAATAATGGAGATGCATCGTCAATAAATATGTAATTAATGGGACTGAAGAATATCTCAAATATAATAAAGGATGTCATTTTGAAAACGCTTTTTAAATATTAATTACTGATTTATACTATTCTTCAAAATTCTTAATTCAAAGATTTGGGTGTTTCATTTTCTAAGGTTAGTCTTACACTGAAGATAAAAGTGTTGATTCGTGGGCTTTGCAGTGATGGTGATGTGGGTGGTGATGAGCATGTGGAGAGAAGGCCAAGGTGAGAGTGAAACAAATCTAGTTTTATAAAAGTCAGAGAAACTTGGGGGTGCCTGGGTGGCTCAGTCCAACTTCAGCACAGGTCATGATCTCACGGTTCATGGGTTCAAGCCCCACGTCGGGCTCTGTGTTGACAGCTAGCTCAGAGCCTGAAGCCTGCTTCAGATTCTGTGTCTCCCTCTCTCTCTGACCCTCCCCTGATCACGCTGTCTCTCTCTCTCAGAAATAAATAAAACATTAAGAAAATAAAAAAACAAAAACAAAATTGATTTAAAAAAAGTCGATGAAACTTGGGCTTCAGTTCCACTAGAAACTATACATCCTGCTAGAATCTAAAGAGATTAAACTGCTCTTCTTGGCTTCACTCAGTTTTTATCTGTAGAATAAATATAATAACTCCCCTGACAGCCTCACAGAGTTATTATGAAAAGCTACAGAGAAAAAAATGCAGAAAAAGATACTGAAAAGTTCAAAGCATTACACAAATGAAAGTTGTTGGAGAGTAATAGGCTTTATGAAGACTAAATTCGTTATAGGTTTTTGTTCATGATAATAGGGGAATTTAATTCAAAAATGCTGGTGGACTTATTCAATGGGGACCTACCTCATTTTCCACCTCTGCAGCCAACCTTCTCCAAAGCTGAGGCCCCACCCTCTTGCTCCGTCTTGAATACTCAGCCCCCTTACGTTGTTCCCTGCTGCCAGCCCTTATGGTGGTAAAAGCATGATGTATTTAGGGAGTCCCAGGCAGCTCTCTGGAATGCCTCATCATAAAACTTCCTAGAAAATGCATTACATGAAATTTTTCTCTTATCTGAGTAAGGAAAACCAATAGGTTATGAATGATTGTTTTTCAGCTAAGTGCGCTACAATTTCTTTATCCTTTTATAAGACGGGGTGTAAATTTGCATTGTGTGAAAATACGTAACATATAAATGCCCACCTTCAAACCCATCTGTTTAGATGAGAGAGAATACTGTTTTTTGGATCTACAATAAAGCAAAATAAAGTGCTAATGGGCTTTCACCAGGGGCTTACATTATCTCCTTGAAGAAAACAGCAAGACGAGTCAGAACTCACTGGAGCACCCAGACATCTGGTTATAAGGTTGTAGACATCCCCCACACCATTTACTGACAATTATTAAAAGAACCTCCTGAGTCTGGGGACAAAAACTACTTTCATTGGATTCAAGACTCCTACCTTTAGACTAAGGGCCAAAGACAGTTAGTATTAGTGGGTAATACTTGAATGCTGCTAGGACAAGATTTCATAAAGTGAATAAAAGTTGTATGAAATGTTTTATCTGGTGCCTGACTCTCGGTCTCCTGGACTTTTTTCCTTCCTGTGATTCAACAAGTACAAGTTCCATCTGGTTTAGAGAGAGGAGACATTTCCATTTGTAGCCAAACCTGATGCAAGGGCCTTGCCTTAGAAACTGCCCCCTGCCGGGGCACCTGGGTGGCTTAGTCGGTTAAGCGGTTAAGCGGCAGATTTTCGCTTAGGTCATGATCTCGCGGTTCGTGGGTTCGAGCCCCGCGTCGGGCTGTGTGCTGACTGCCAGCTCAGAGCCTGGAGCATATTTCAGAGTCTGTCTGTCTGTCTGTCTGTCTCTTTCTCTCTCTCTGTCTCTCTCTCCTAGAAATAAGAAAGAAAGAAAGAAAGAAAGAAAGAAAGAAAGAAAGAAAGAAAGAAAGAAAGAAAGAAAGAAAGAAACTGCCCCCTGCCTTGGTATAAGGTCTCAGCCTGAGCACCAATGACCTTGTGGGTCCTGTGGACTGCAGGATGGTTAGCATCATCCAGGGCCTCTACCCACTGATTATCAGCAATGCTCCATCACCCCCTGAGTCCTTTATCCCATACCCCACTGTTGTGACCAGCAGAATAGTTTCCAGACATTGCTAAATGTCCTCTGGAGAAAAAAATCACCTCTGGTTGAGAACCAATTCCTTAGTTCCTCCTCTATTAGCCTTGCTTTTACCATCACCCACATCTTCTTTCTTCTCCCTCTCCCCATTTCCAGGACTCGAGTCCTGAACCTGAATTTCTTTCCAGGTACCCAATTTTCAATCTTACCTGATGCCAATTGACAGTATTTTCAGAAGCACTTATTTTAATCAATCAATCAATCAATCAATTCACCTATATACCTACCAGTATTTAATGAGTGCCTATGATGAACCAGGCCCTTGGGATTATGAGGTTGATAAGACACATTGCACTACAGGCAACAAAACAGAGCCATGTGCCATCTTGTCAATATCCCACTGGATGTGGGAACAGCTGTGTCTCTGTTGAGTACAATTTGTCAACAAAACTACCCAAGGTACTTTTACTGAAAACAGCTCAGAACCACAATTGGAAAGTGTGCTGTAGCCATTCTTGGTGTGTTCTCTGACTATATGGAATAGAATAGCACCTGGGGCTTACGTCATTTTCCTAATTCCTAGGGCACAGATCTCTGGGTAATGGTCCTTATTCTGTAGAACTCTGAGTTCTAAACTTTCCAAGACTTCTCATCTGAGCTTAGATGTCCAGAGCCCCTATGTATAGAAAATGAGTGGAACTTCACCTTCTAATGAGAACCAGAGTCTCAACACCATTGCCCTCAGGCATCAGAACCCCTTCTTCTGCCCTATTCCTCTTGGGTCAACTCTACAAGGCCAGAATCTCCTGAGAACTTACAACCAGGTAGAGATTCAGGACAAGTTCCAGTGGAAGGAAGCCTTGCTGACAATTCAAATATTTGAACTGAATTGCCAGACCAACCACTGGCCATTTCAATTTCAAGTATTAATATATCACTTTGACATTGCTATGGTCTTCCAGAGGTTCATAAACAAGGTGTTTTATCTCCTGCTGGACTCAAATAATCACCTATCATCCTGATTCTCGGATCCCCTACTAAGGCTGGGCAGTTTGTCCAAATTATCTAGAGATACTGATTCAGCACTTTACTTTCTTCCAAGCTCATGAATAATTCAAACAGAATGCAGACCCATAAGCTACTCTCCTAGCTAAGACCCTCCATTGCCCTAGCTCAGTAGGACAGATGGAGGTCACTTTCATCCTTAAGTAGAAACATTTAAGCCAAGTACAGACCCATAGCCTGCTGTCCGGGCCAGTTCAGATTCTTCCACTTCTCTCCCACGGCAGGGAGTACGGAGATCACTTTCACAATCCTCCTCATCTGAAAAGTCCCCACAGTCATTGTCACCATTACACTGAAGTCGCCTCTTTATGCATCTGCCTGCAACCAAAATCAAGAAGGACACCGTGGCAAGGTTTCATTCTTTCTCATTGCCAAGTAGTATTCCATTGTATATCTAAACCACATCTTCTTTATCCATTCATCAGTTGATGGACAGTTGGGCTCCTTCTATAAGTCAGCTATTGTTGATAGTGCTAAATCTTTCCATTTGCAACAACGTGGATGGAACTGGAAGGTATTATGCTAAGTGAAATAAGTCAGCCAGAGAAAGACAAATATCATATGTTTTCACTCACATGTGGAATTTGAGAAACTTAACAAAGGATGATGGCGGAAGGGAAGGGGAAAATATAGTTTGAAAAAGAGAGGGAGGCAAACCATAAGAGACTCTTAAATACAGAGAACAAACTGACGGTTGATGGGGGGAGGGGAAAATGCATGACAGGCACTGAGGAGGGCACTTGGGATGAGCCCTGGTGTTGTATGTAAGTGATAAATCATGGGAATCTATTCCCGAAGCACACTGTATACACTGTATGTTAGCTAACTTGACAATAAATCTATTTAATAAAGAAAAAAAAAGAAAGACACTATGTGTCTAATGCCAAATTCCCTCACTTTCTGAAGTTATCATGTGTACTTTAATAACAGAGGAGAAAGAATGCACATACATTTGAGTTCTTTGTACAACATTTGTAGATGACCCTTTCACGCTTGCAAACATAAGCGTGTCAAAGCAGGCATCTTTTTTTTTTTTTTTCTCCTCATGAGTGCACACAGAAGCCCACAATGAGCAAGAAGGACTCAAGGATTACCTGTGCCACATTGAAAGTCATTGCAACAGTCCTCCTCTGGGTCTAGGCAGGGCTCACTGGGTTCACACTGTCGTCTGTCTCCCACAGCATGCACGCACTTTTGCCCCTTAAATTGTCCAAAGACCTCAATGTTCCTTGAGCGAAACTGCACAAAACCAGGTGGAAACATTAGGATTTCTAATGCCAGAAGGGATAACAATCTAAAACTGCATCCACAGCACTGTAGCCTTCTACGCCCAGATGAGTCTATGGGTTTACAATGACGGAAGGTCACTAATGCTAGTGAAGTAACATCTGGCATTCTGGGGATAGCAGTCTCTCCTATAGAATCTGGTTCCTCATGACACTCAATTAGGAGTGTCTGCCACATTCAGATTTACAAGCAGGGCGAGCCTCTTCCCTTTAGATATTTATCTTCGCTTCTCAGTTTGGAACTCAGTTGGGGGGCTTCCTACGTCCTAGTGCTTTTCCTAGAGCTACTGGCAACCCAGTTTCCATTTGGGGACATCAGCACAGGGAATGACAATGAACACTTACCATTTGTTTGAGGCAAGGGTCACATTCTGACCATTCGCCCCAGGAGCTCATTCTGCAGTCTATCGGAAGCGGTGTCTCATTCTCTCGTACGGTCTCTGGGGCAAAACTAAGATAACAGAACGCGTCAACTTCATGGCATGACATGTGCCTGTTTCGAAGCCTTCACAAGCCAGTCTAATTGCTTTACTACTTTTCTGCCTTGTAATATCAAAGGCTTTATCCTTTTACCGTAGCTCTCATTTGACATTTGATCACATGCTGCTTTGTATTTTCAACTTTTTCGTTGTTGAATTCTTGTACAGCTTTGTAATTTAACTTTCAGTCTAATGACACTTGTAATAATGGTGATGAGGAAAACTAGCAAGTCATCCTGTGACCTGTTTTACACTGATTAGTCATTTATTTCCAAATAACTTATGAACTCAGTGAAGCACCCTGTTTCACTTTGCATCCCTCAGGGTTTGAAAAAGCCTCCAGTTACCTGGTTTTCTTGCAAATTTAAGCCAGTGGGCTCAGCATTCTGGGAGCAAGCACCTGGTAAACCAAGCCTTCCTCCCCCTGCACTGTGTTTGTCCTAAACTGAAGGCCTGGCCACTTCACTCTCCACTTCAGGACTTCCCCCTTACCATTCTCAATTTTAATTCTTTTTTTTTTTTTTTTTTTTTGGCACTTATAGCCTTCCCCTCCTACCCCTAGTCCCGAAGCTCAGCAGTGTTTTTCCGGCTTTGAACATTTCTTTCTTTTTCTCCTCACTATTTGGATCTTTTCTGGTTGCAACACCTCCTTGGATTCCTATATCATTCAGTGAAAGAAAAAACAAATGAAACAAAACAAAAGCAAAAGCCACTGAACCAGAATCCTATAGACATCCTGCCCCCACTTCTCTGACCTGGTGCCTACTCTTTCTAGAGCACAGCCTCTTAATCCAGAGCAATGGCTAGGTAAGGCCAATCCCTCCGCAGTCTCCAGATTCCACCTCTTCCCAGAGACTTTGATCAGTTGGGTATGTCCTCCATTAAAACTCTTCCTTGCTACACACTGTTTTCCGTTTGTTATATATTGTGTTCAAGTCTTTGCCATTAAAAAGAAACAAGCAAATGAATAAGCAAATAAAACAGTCTTTCTGATCTCTGCATTTGCTTCCAGCCACCCCCATTTCCCTCTTGCCTTTCACAGTGTCACTATTTAAAGGAATTGTTATCAAAATATTTGTTTCTCTTTCATAAAAAAAAGAGTTTCCTCTCTTTCAACGCTACTTGTCCCTTTAGCTACTTCTTAAATTCTTTCCTCCTTTTACCCAACTTTCTTGAAAGACTAGTTTATACCCTATCTTCTGCTCTTTACCTCCCAGTCACTGTTCAGCCCTCCTTCCCCAAGGATACTGCCCTTACCAGAGTCAGTGATGACAGCCATGTGGCTCACTTGGTCCTTTCAGTGCCTGTCTTATTGAATTCCTCACAGCTGTCAATACAATTGGCCATTTTGGCTGTTTGAAACAGTCTCTTCCCTTAACTGAATGACACTAACTCTTTCCATTTCTTCTTTCTCTTCTGCCCAGTTCTTCTCCTCGACTATGTAGGCTCCTCCTCCTTAGATAGTCTCTGAACAGCTGTTTATCCTCAAGGCCCTGTCTTGAATTGGTCTTTTAAAAAATGTCTACACTTTCTCAGGGCTTTGGTTTTCATGTACCTACTAATGACACTGAGAGGTAAGCCTGCAGTCAGACATCTCTCTTGAATTTTAATCTCTTGGATATAACTCCCAACTGGATGTCTGCACTTGGATTTCATTATGGTGCATTGAACTCAAAGTATTCTCCAAATGAATTCATTATTTTCCTCTCCTTTCAAAGCTACTACTTCCCTCTGTACTGTCCTGGTAAATGGCACTTCCATTTATACAGTCACCTTGGCCATAGACGTGGATACGCCTGTCTTAGCCTGCACTCTCACACTGATCTTCTGTATCTAACCAACAACTAAAACCTGTTGTTTAGTCTTTTACATGACTCTCATATCCATTTATTCTTCATCTCTGCCAGAAAGTTCTCTGCTCTACACTAAAATTACATCCCTCTTGGATGACAATATTTTTCCCCTAATCCAGTTTCTATAAATCATACACAAGGATCTTTTTAAAATACAAATTTGATTGTATCATTCCCCTTCTGAAAACGTTTTTCTAAGCTTCCTATCACTTTTATAATAAAGCCCAAAATTTCTAACATGGTGTAGCAGGCCAGAGAGTGATGCCTGAAGATGTTCACATCTTCACCCCTAGAAACTATGAACATTTTACCTCACGGGCAGAAGGGACTTTGCAAATGTGACTGAGAGAAGATTATTCTGTATGATCTGGGTGAACTCATTCTAAACATGTGGGTTCCTAAAAGCAGAAGAGCAGATCAGGGAGATGTGAAGACAGAAGAAGAGGTAGGAGAAACTCGAAGCATGAAAAGGGGCTCTGCTGGCTATTGCTGGCTGTGAAGAAAGAAGGGAACCATGAACCAAAGAATGTAGGCATCTTCCAGAAGCTGGAAAAACCAAGAAAATGGAATTCTCCCCTAGAGCCTCTGGAAAGGAATGCAGCCCTACTGGCACTTTAATTTCGGTCCAGTGAGACTCATTTCAGACTTCTGACCTGTAGAACTGTAACATAATACATTTGTATTGCTTTAAGCCACAAATTTGTGGTAATTTGTCACAGCTGCAGTGGGAAACTAGTACACATGGTATAGAGAGCGTGTATGGCTTATCACCTTCCTCATTCTTCATCCTCACTTTCTCCATCAAAGCTTTAGCCACATTGAACTTGAAGTTCCCAAGATAAGCTACTTTTTCTCATATCTTCAGGCCTTTCAACTTGTAATATTTATTACATGATCTTATCTTGGACATAATGTGCTTTTTCCACCGTGAACATTCCCTAAACTCCTTGTGGAATTTATTTTTCTTTGTACCTATTCGTATAGAATCTTGTTATTCCTTATATCATAAACACCTTTGAAATGATATATTTCATTTAATTAGTTTGTTTATTCATGCATACTTTCACTTATTCATTCATCACATATTTATTAATTGTCTCTATTTGCCTGACATGAGAAATATAATGGTGTGCGAAAGAACAAAACAAAATAAAACAAAAACCATAATCCTTGAACTAAGAGAGCTTTTATTCTAAATAACAGTATCAGTGAGCTAGGAAACTTTAAATCCTATTCAGCTTTCATATCAGGTTCTTGGAACAGGAATGCAAACTGGTGCAGCCTCTCTGGAATATGGCATAGATGGAGGTTCCTCAGAAGGTTTGAAGACAGAGCAGCCTATGACCCAGGAATTGCACTACTAGGAATTTATCCAAAGGATACAAAAATACTGACTCAAAGCGGGCACATGCACCCTAATGTTTACAGCAGCACTATCAATCATAGCCAAATTATGGAAAGAGCCCAAATGTCCATCAACTAACTGATGAATGGATAAAGAAGATGTGGTGTATATATATATATATGTATGTATGTGTATATATATATATATATATATATGTATGTATGTGTGTATATATATATATATATATATAATGGAATATTACTCAGCCAAAGAGAATGAACCAAAAAGAATGAAATCTTGCCCTTTGCAATGGGAATGGAGCTAGAGCGTATTATGCTAAGTGAAATAAGTCAGTCAGAGAAAGAGAAATACTGTATGATTTCATGCATATGTGGAATTTAAGAAACAAAACAAATGAACACAGAAGAAGGGAAGGGAAGATAAAATGGGATAAAAACAGAGAGGCAAACCATAACAGATTCTTAACTATAGAGAACAAACACAGTAGCTAGGTGGGAGGTGGATGGAGGGATGGGCTAAATAGGTGATAGGCATTAAGGACAACACTTGTGTCGAGTACTGGGTGTTATATGTAAGTGATGAATCATGAAATTCTCCTCTTGAAACCAATATACTACATTAACTAACTTGAATTTAAATAAAATCTTGGAAGAAAAAAAGTACCCTGGGTGACTCTCATTTTCATGCAATGTTACAAAACAATGCTTTGCTACATCTGGAGGATATTCATGAAATCTGAAGGTGTAGAATTCAAGTAAGTTAGGGGTACCCATTATATCACTATAACCCAAACTCGAAGCTAACATGAACTAAAAATGTGACTGAGGTAGTTTATCATTAGTTTCAGGAATTCCTCTAGGTTCTATCTATTAATGTCTTCATGTATCTTTCTAATAACTGTTTCTCCAGTATTAGTCTTGTTGCCTTCAACTAGATTATCTCCTCCTGTCTTTTTTTTTTTTTTTTGAGTTTATCTCTTACGTAGATGATTACATTAGAATTTTGTTTTGCATCTCCCCCAAAAAGATTATCTCTTGGTTGTAGAAACTGCGCCTATAGACCAGTAGGATGATACTTTTGTCTTTCTCATCTGCCAATGAGATCAGCTTCAGTGAATAACTAGCTCAGAGAGTACAGTACAGACTGAAGGATCATGTCTGGATGGTAAAATCCACTGCAAATACTCCAGAATGAGTTAGACTCCTTTGCTGGGCAAGCCTCAGACCCAGCCAGTGATGGGAGCTGCTGAGAAAGGCTGTTCATCTGTTTCACACACAGGTCCAAAGACCCTGATCCGAAGATACTGGCAGTGCCGATAGACTGTTCTCTAACATCCTTTGTATAAAAAATAGCACCACATCACACTGATTCCCTTCCTTTTTAGCTTCTACCTTGAGAACTCCTTTTCTTTTTTGTAGAGTTGACTCACACTCTGGACTTGGTACAGAGCTCTCTGCCTTTGATCTTTTATTACCCTCCTAGACCATGATTTGGGTCTATCCCATGAAAGATCCATCCTTTGAATGACCCCATAGGAAGGTCCCAAGATGACATCCTGCCTTGGGAGAAGACTTACAGCCCTCTAGATATCAGGTGCAGGGTATTTGTTGGTTTACTGGTTCTGTCATAACCAGATACGACAGACTGTGTGGCTTAAACAATAGAAATTTATTTTCTTACACTTCTGAAATCTAGAAGTCTGGGACCAAGGTATCTGCAGGGTTGATGCCTTCAGAGGCCTCGCCTTAGCTTA